ATGATGATGATGATGTGGATGGATGGATGGATGGATGGATGGATGGATGGATGGATGGATGGATGGATGGACGTGCCGAGGACAAACTGCATAACTTAACAAATGTTTCATGATCAGGGTAGAGGAGTGGTTCAGGTCATTAAAATACTATAACTGATATTATATTCAGCCTGTATGAAAGGGAAGTGTTGGGCTTCTCTCTCTAACACTGTCAAGTTTTGCCCTCATTATGTCAAGTGCCCCATAGTGGCATGCACATGTGACAGTTTACCTCCCTCCACTAAAATGTTGTTCTTGTCTGGTATCAGTCATGTCACATCATGACCACGATCGCCTACAGTAAACTGGAGGCTACACATAGAACATACACATCTGATGTACCTCCAGCGACTACTGGGCTTTAATTCAAACCTTAACCATTAACGGCAGTACAAGTCAGAGGTTCCTGCCACATCCACGCCACTTGCTCAGCTGTGTTTACGTACCAAAAGAAAATGACAAAGAAAAAAACGGAGGTGGTTGCACATGTTGGACTCATTGTGGAGAGTGTTTTATCTGTTCCATGTTTTTGTGTGAATTGTACTATCCTGAAAACTCATCACTGTTCATCCAAATTATATTATATTATATTATATTATATTATATTATATTATCGTATTCTATGAAAACAATCCTCTAAAGCGGATCAGGTGTAACTCTACACTGTTGCCTATTTCATATGTGCATATCTGTGAATATGTGAGTTCAGTCAGCAGACACGAGATTCTTCAAAATTACTCTCTAATTGCAAATTGTCTTACCAGAGTAATTCAGCCACACGTGTACATTATGAAAACCAACTCTAAAAAGACGAAGAGGAGCATACTGTCCTTATTTAAGCAACTCAAAGACAAACGGTGGGAATGATGAAATAAATAAACATAGTTTTGCTTAGAAACATCCTCATCGAATAACCAGAGTGTCACAGGTTCAAACGCTCCAACAGCCGGTGAACAAACAAACAACTCGCACTGAATCTGAAGAGTGTAGAGTCTAAATAAGAGGAGACACTCACATGACAGGGAGACGCTTCTTTTCCAGCCCAGGCAGTCGAGACCGACGGGGGTGCTCTGGGAGAAGCAGTGGGCCTTCAGGGGCATTCCCTGGAAGGTCTCAGTGGTTCCCAAGGTGACATCTGTCTGTGGGGATGGAGCACTATGTCAGATCAATGGTGTCATCATAAATCTTTATACTATGCATTCATTAAGCTTTCACTAACTGGACTCAACTACATGAGAGTTAAAGAACCAAATGCATCCATGAATCTAAGTGCAAACTAAAGAGAGGAAAAAACAGACCAGAAGGCAGAAAACAGGAAGTAAAGACTGGACAGAAACATCCAGGCTTCGTATTGATGAAAAACTGTCACCAGAGAAACAGATTGTCTAGGAACAACAGGAGGAGTTAGAAATGAGGCAGAGGTGGAAGAAGATCAGGATTATAATGGCTTCCAGAGTCTGGATGTTGGTTTTAGCAGCTGGCAGCACCGCGGTGGCGTCTTACTTTTCCCAGGTCTTCAGATAACAGTGTGTCGAGTTGGCCCACACTCCCCCTGATGGCTCTGGCCAGTTTGTGTTTGTATTTCTTTTCCTCTTCAACCCAGAAATCATCTGAACACTTTGGCCTTTGCTCCTGGCCACCTCCATCACGGCTCACATCCACCCAGCAGCCAGTCCTCAGCCCACCATAAACCACAGAGGCCTTCCCCTCATCCATGGCCTCCAGCAGCCTCCTTGCTCTGGACCGGCTCGCGGCTCGCCGGCTGTTTCGTGTGGCCTTCTGAGTGCACAGTTACCTTGTTAGTCACAGTCATGTTTTCTACACCAAAGCCTATGAAGCACACAACCTGGAACTCTACTTTGGTAGTTCCTGCAGATGCAGGACAAGCAGGCAGTCAGTACTGTCAGTGCTGCATGATGCACCAGGAGGATCAACACAGAACCAGAACCAGATTGTCAGTTCCAACCCTTTATGCTATCAGGTCATCAGTTTATGCATTTTACATGCAAGGGGTATTTACACAGCAAGGATCAGATTTATTACCCCAAACTGCCTTCACTGTGCTGCTTTGTTGGTCTTTTCTTTATCTTTACAGTCGTTCTTTTGTTCTGATTCCAAAATGGTCCGTTCTACAGGGTTCTACGTACAGTGGCCAGAAGTGCAAAACACAAGTCAACCAGAAGGGGAACGTACCGACTCTGTGTTTGAACCAGAAGTGGTAACGGGGAGCGGCCAATCAAGAGTTGTTGTTGTCATTTATGGAGTTCATGGTGACCCAACATGGACAGCAACAGAGTGCTGTTTAGCCCGTTTTTACTTGAGCCGATTAACGCGTTTTTGTTTGTCGTATGGTCGGTCTTTAGAATTTCTAAGGGGCATGGACCAGAAAACTGCGTTTATCAGCTGTGCCACAGAACAGGCAAAACATCACTCGGTCGCTGTCCATGTTGGGTCACCATGAACTCCATAAATGACAACAACAACAACTCTGATTGGCCGCTTCCCGTTACCACTTCTGGTTCAGTCCCAGAGATGGTACATTCCCTTTCCGGTTGATTTTACTTGTAAAAGTGTTTTGCACTTTCCAGCCACCATATCTACACATAACCAGACTTTTTAAAAAACTCATAACATAACAAAAAAAGCGCTGAAAAGCGAAATTACATTCAAAGGGTATTGAGTACACTTCCATTTTATTAAATGTATCAAATATGCTCATTTTGTACACTTCAAGGTAGAGCAAGCTATTAATCAAACAGACTGACTAATTGTCTAACTGACATGGTTTTACTTATCTATACCAGTCATCTAAGGAAGATTATCTAACTAATAAACAACAAGCAGCTGCTGTCGGCTAGAGTGTGTTTAACAGAGCATGCTCCCTCATAGCTAGCAGCTATCAGGGATAAGGACAAGAGCAAAAATTAGCCCCGTATTAAAGAAACAGAAACAGTTACAGGAGCAGAAAAGGAATAGATGGTAGAGGACACTTTGACTTAAGTATTTAAAAAAAAAAAAAGAAAGTAAAGGAAAGTGCGATTTGTTTGAACATCTTAAACACAACCATGTTGCCCAAGAAGCAGCAAGAAGTCTCACAGTAAACCTGGAGAACTCTCAGACACAGCAGCCAATCACAGTGTTTGTAATTACACTTCACATGCTAAAACTCTTTAAATTAATATGCACCTTTGTCAGAAGATGTGCAGCATTTAAACAGCTTTTTTTCATTTCTTAAAGTAACAAGTTTGTTGAGGCGAATATCCGAATCTCAAAACTAATATCCGGACACCACAGCGACCGAATATTTGGATGTTTGGTTCCAGCTCTACCTGTTACAGTCTGCATCCCCAAAACCAGCCTTCCCCTCTAGTTTGGTCCCCAGCCCCGTGAGCATCCCTGTTTTGTTGTTCTAGTTTTAGTTTATTCACATTAGTCACCTGAGGTTTCCCCCTATAGGTGTACATTTAGAGTTTTGTAGAGGTTTGTGTAATTTTGTCCCTTTTCTGATTTCACTCTGGTTTTCCCTCAGTTTAGCTTCTATTTTATACCAGTGTATGTAAACTTCTGGTTTCAACTGTAAATGCAGAGAAAATGGTTCATAGTGTTTTGTTTACTTCCACCAGTGACTGTCCTGCCATCAAACCTCTGGATATTAGCCAACTCACATCACTCTTGCAAAGCTTTATAAACAGTAAGGAATATGTACACTATATGATCCGGTAACTACTTCACCTTCGATGTCCCACATCACCACTCACGTTGGCAGAACTGGTACGATGCACATTTTAAATGAAATGCTCTGCAAGTTTCCATTAGGCTAGAGTCTTTTACATTCCCTGGAGACTTTACAGCATTGTTATCGGGTATTCTTATGGTTCTTGTAATTGCTTTTGTTCACTGATTTATGTGACTCGTGCATCTGTTATGTCTCGTGTTTATCTCGTCTTAGTTGTGCAGCATGCTGATTGTGTGCTTGTCTAATTATGACTGATTAGAAATGTGTCATCTTCTCACGTCTCTCTTCAAAAATAGATCTCACTCTCGGTTACATTACTGAATAGAAAATGTTTTTTAAAACATTACCCACACAACCAACTCTGATGGTGTAATTAGTCTGCTGGTGGTACTGAGTGGGTGTCTCATTTAGGAAAACCCTTGTGTTGAAGCAACCAGCTTTGTAGGGCTATTCTGTTTTGTACCACATGGGAGGAGGCCACAAGGTGGTGCTAGTTCTGAAGTTATCCAGATCTGGCTGTTCATTGCAGGACAATTGTAGAAACTGGTAGAAAGTCAGGGCGACAGCAGCCAGGTCACTTACAGTATGGAAATCATGCCAACACTAGAGTTTACTAGCGGTGGTTGTTCTGGGGTGTTTTTTTTGTTTTGTTTTGTTTTGTTTTTTTTAAATTCCAAATCAGGGTTAGTGAAGTGTAAGTTACAGGCAGAAGTCAAACATGTTTCCCAAGCAGCCAGGGCCCTATCAGTTTCCTGACTGAGGTCTGAGTAATGCCTCTTTCATCTCCACAGCTTTATGGTGATGTTGAAGATACAGAAGAAGAAGAAGAAGAAGAAGAAGAAGAAGAAGAAGAAGAAGAAGAAGACGGGTATTTACAGCATTTAAGTGTACAGCGCAGAAATTTGATTGTGATCCCTTGAAAACATGTCTGGGGCTGATTAAGATGATAGTGTTTTTATAAAGATGTCACGCATTTCTTCTGATATTTTACAAAAATCTGCTTTTGTGTATGACAGTGATTTTTTTTTCTTACCTCCAGTTCATTGATGGAACCGATGGTATACAGGCTGATGTGTGACATGCTGTCTATTCTGCCCTCGGCTGCATCCAGAGGGCTAAGACTGAGACCAAGCGGGCTAGCTGTAGGTTTTAGGGACTTAGGTCTTCCTGGGGGTTCTGTCAATCCTTCCACGCTGACTGACTGACCCAGAATGATGGGAGAGACAGAAGTGGGCCTTGGTGAATGAGGGTAGCAAAAACTTTTGTGCAGGGCTGCTGGTCTAGGGCTGTTTGGTTTAGGGCTTATTGGTCTTAGGGGGTTCTCAGTCAGGTGGCCACTGGCCACTGGGCGGGACCTCGTCCAGGACAGCACATGCTGATTATCAACTGTTGTTAGGGGGTGGGGGCTCAAAGGTGAAACAGGGACAGCGGAAACATTTGAAAAGGGAGGTTGATCAGACATGCATGTTGGTGCAGGTAAACTATTGGGTGAACATTTTCTTGTCTGCCCCTCAGATTTACATCCACTGGAGTTTTCCTTTCCATGCCTTTGTGGAACTGCCCGCTTAGAGATGGGATCAGTGTGGCGAAGGGTTCTGAGGGGGGATGGTGATCCTGGGTTGCTGAGCCGGTCCAAGGGTGGAGAGGACAAAAAGTCTTGATGATGCTCCTGCTCAAACGTTGTTGTGCCGCTTTCCCCATCTGGCAGTGAAAAAGCTCGTTTCAGCAGCTCCGCCTCCTTGGTCTTTCTGAGCTTTCTCCACGACTGTTTGGCTTTACCCGAATCCAGATCAGTGCTCACAGTGGCTGGCTCTTCATTTCCCTTGTCCATCCAACGGGACTCAAACAGACTGGAAAGGGACTTGTGTGCTTGTGCAAAACGCATGCGGATGTTTAAACTGTCGATGCTCTTGGTCCTCTTGTTGCTCTGCCCAGTAGATGAATGGACATTTCCAAGAAAGGGGTTGTCCGGGCTGAGTCCTCCATTATCATCCCAACCACTTCCTTGGTGGACTAGGTGATGGAGATGGCCAGTGTGGGGAGTAGAGGGCAGGAAGTCAAGGTCTTCTTCTTCTATCTCATAATGCACTGAGGAAAATTCCTGGTGGGCTGTTTGCTTAATGATGTCACTCTTGATGAAAACTTCCCCATCTGAAGTGACACTCTGTGCCCCTTGCTCAGACAGAAAGTCCTCGTCGCCTCTATCTGATGAAGTTACCTCCTCACTTGTGGACCCCTTTGAGCTTTTTGTCTTTTTAAAAGAAGGCATTTTAGCAAACATAGAAAACTTAGAGGTCTTATGTCCTATCTGACTGCCTTTTGATTTTGTTGTCTTGGACACTTTGTCAAAATTCCCATTTCTGCCTGAAACAGCAGGATCCTCCAACTCATCACAGGTGCTGCTGGTTGACGTGTAAGACACTGCATCATAGGCAGGTCTCCAGCACTTTTCACTACTACTGCATAGGGTATGTGCTACTGGGTTCCCCTCAGGGTCTAACTCAGGAGAAGTTAAAGATTCTCCTTTTTGTTCAGTCTGTTGGGGTGCAAGCCTAGGATTGGACATATCCCCTGAAAGGTCAACAATATCCTGAACTTCTTCAGCAAACCTCATGGTTTCACCTTCTTTCTTTCTTTCTGTTTCTACATTATACTCTGTTGAGCCACAGTTTTCCATTGATTGTTCAGCCTCCAGAACTGCATCTAAACCACTACCAACAAGTAGGTTGAGGCAGGCATCAGGATGTGAGAATCTTGTTACCTTTGTTTCCTGCTGTTGAGCTTGCAAGCTGACCTGTGTGTCCTGTCTGTATTCAACTGTAACGTCCTCCAATGGTTTGGATGAGATGTCTCTCTTGCTGGGTAAGCTATGATCTCCTGATTGGCTAAAATAGTGTTTTTCTTTTTCAAATTCACTGACCGATTGTGAACTTGACACTAAGGATTTAAAGCCTCCAATTTGTTCTGAGTTATAACAGTCTAGACTTTCTGCAGCAATGTTAGCCTTTATTCTCTTCTCTATCTTTAGTTTTTCCAGGTCATCTTCATGGCACACACCTAATATACACTGGCTATCAAGATCGTTTCCCAGCCCAGATTCAAAGCCCTTGCTTTCACAGTTGGGTCTGTGGTTACAAGAAGACAGGGAGATGTCAGAATCTTCCTGGGGCTTGTCTACATATTCCAAAAGGTCTAGGGTCACACCTTTCAATGGTTCAACCAAGGGGCAAATTAGTTTCCTATTACTTTTGCAGTTGTTCTGGGCACCCTCTGAGAAACAGCCACCACTCTCCCCTCTCGGCACCCTTTTTATGGTGGCCTTGGTGTTATTATTGGAGTCTGACAGCAGAGAGGATTTTAGGCCACAAGGAGGTTCAGGTATCCTCACACCCACTTGATCCTTCTTACAATTACCAGAAGTTGAGCCGACAGAGGTTTGTACGTTGGTAAGGTTTTGCTGGTGTTCTACGCAATTGTCTTCAATCGGCTTAGTAGCAGAAGGATTTGTTGATGTTTTTTCTTTCTTAACAGGCAGAGACTGAGTAAAATAGGCACCAGGACCACTTGCAATGTGCAATTCACTTTTGCAAAACCTTAGTTCATTTTTCTCAGAGCGCTCTGTTACGCCAAGTTTGTTGTTACTCACTGCTTCCACGATGTGGTCCCGGTCAAGGTAAACCAGACTACCCTCCCATTCCCATCCCTTGTTATGTCGAACAAGAGAGCAGGGCAATCCCACCCTCCGCTTCTCTTCTCTAAAGTTATCTGATAACAGAGTGGAGGAATCCTCTATTTCTCGGTCACCAGATAAAAACAGCAGCTTATCCGAAAACGAGTCACGAGGAAGACATTCGTTGGGCCCCTTAAGTGTGTCAGAGTGGAATTCAGTTGATCTAAGCCCGAGTTCTACAGAACCAGACTCTACCCTTTCCAAAAGCTCATCCACAGAAAGGAACTGCCTATTAGTGGGTTTATCTATCGTAGTACCCCCCTGGTCCAAGTGATTAGGGACTGAATCCTGGGTCCATGCTTGTGATTTTTTCAGAGGTTGCTTTTGATCTGGTTTCCTCTCAGTGAGCTCCTCGTTCTCAGAGTCTGACCGCAGGACAGGCGAGGTTTGTTTAAAACCCTTTGGAGACACAGTCAGCTCAGTAGCACAGGTATCCAGTGGAAAACAGGCTGTGGTCTCAGTGGAAAACGTGATGGAGGAGCAGATTTCATTCACTGTCCCAGGTGGTTTAGCTCCCTCTGTTGTAGTGCCAACACACCCAAACGGCTCCCGCTGGAGGCAGACATCGGACACCCATGCCTCATCCTGGGGCTTTGTTCCAGCAGTACAAACCTGAGGGTGGATCCCTGACCTATTGGGGCTCTCTTGATGCAGGGCTTGAGCACAGCAAATATCTACCTGGTGTGCCAGCACATTGGTTGGTTTATTGACTGTGTCTCTCAGCTCTGACTTTGCGCTCTGAGATGCACAACTGGTCTTTAAGCCACGTGCTTCTGTGATGCTTGAACTTGCAGTAATTTCTGTAACTAACTGAGAGTCTGTGTGTTTTGCCTCAGATTCAGAGTGTGCTGGTGTAAAAATGTTGTCATATTTTTGTGCATCAGTGAAATTGCTAACAGCTCTACACGTGTCCTCGTTACAACTACTCCCTATTTTGTGATGTGTACTAATATAATATGTTCCCACACTTTCACACAAGTCCCTTTTGTCTTCACTGTGCACTTTTAGAGCTTGTATTTTGCTCTCTTTATTGATTCTGGCTAAGTTTTCTCTCTGTCTGTGATGCTCATTGCTACAGAAACTATTGCGTCTATTTAAAACTGTATGTTTCTCTCCGGGGTGAGTTTTGAGCAGCTCAAGATTCTGCACTTCTACATCCTGAACGTTACAGATTTCTACATTTTCTATGTCTGCGTTTCGTGTTTGGGGCCATGTCTTGTGTTTACGAGTGCTTCGCTGTTGCCGTGTCTCCACAACCTTGTCCCCTTTGACATCTATAAGTACCGTGCATGTTTCTGGGTCTGTAGCTCCATTCAGTCCGTTGCTTTCTTCAAGCTTCACGTGTACCTTTAGTCCTTGAGTGTCTGATAGAGTGTTTGTGTTGTGTTGGCTTTGTATGCATAAACTGTATGGCTCTGGGCTGCACTTGACTTGAGTCTCTGAGCAAACAGCGAATGAATCGGACTGCTGTTGGTATAAGTCTGGTTTTGTTCTGTCTGTACTTGGATGGGGTCGGATCTCAACTGAGCACAGGTCTCCAGTGCTGAGCTTTAAGGAAATGTTAGGGTCCACGTGGTTTTCTGGGCTTTTCCTCCTGCTACAGCTGGACCGCCCAGCATGAGTCTCTGTCGCTTCCCTGTCCTTTGCTGACACCGACTCTCTCCGTCGGGCTTCGGTGTGCCCAGCGTACAAGCTGCCCCTTGTTGCTCGCCGACCAACGTTGTAGGCGTCCTGCAGCTCCAGCAGAGCGTCCAGAGAGTCTTCTCTGTCCGGACTCAAAGTGGAGAGGGTGTCACCGTGCCACAAGTCAAAATGCTGATCCGATGTGTCGCCCCCTCCTGTGTTTCCTTTGCCCCACTCCAAGGAGTTAGCACCAAAATCCCCCACCTCTAAGCTTAATCCTTCACAGGGGTTGGGGGATTCTTCGATGGCATCGTGGGGCTGTGGAGAAGAGGAGAAGAATCTTAAGTCTGATCCTCAATCAGTCCCTGATGAACTAAACACGGAGACATCAAATATAATACAACATTTAAACCTGCAAAGTTTATGTCAAGTTTGGTATTTACGACAAAGTCACAATTGTAATAGAGAAAAAAAACAAAGTTAGATGATGAAGTCATGTGATGAACTGTGGGAGGACGTGTCAGCAGCTGCAACACAGAAGCTGTCTGTTAGAGCAAAAGGCTGGAGTTATTTATCAAAGCGGTGCAACGCTGCAGTTCATATCCTCGAGAAGCTACAGTCCTAAATCTTCACTGACCGAGAGCGGGATGAGGTTTGGTTTTGCTGGGCCAGACATAGCAGGGAATTCATGACCAGTTCAAAAATGCACAATAATGCAGCAAAGTCAGAAAAAATATAGAAAAAAAAACAAAACAAAAGCAGCAAAGCGTGCTGGTTGAATGTGCAACCTGACGAATGGAATTGATTATTGCATAAGCTGATGCATTTGGATGTCGCTGAATGTTAAACTGCTCTTGCTGGATAGTCCAGCTGTGATTGTTAACTTCACTCTGACAAGACCACAAAAGGCGAACCCAAATGCACGACTCCAAAAAACTCAAAAATGTTCTCAAACTGATTTATTTACAAAAAGTATCAACAGAAATGTCATTCAACAAATAAAAACCTAAACTCAAAGCGTCACTCTAATGAGGAGAATAATGAACCAAAAATCACTCAATTGAGGAAATACAAACTAAAAATCACTCAATGAGGAAAACTTAACAATCTTTCTAAACAAAGTAACAACTCAAACATTTCATTTAGGAAAAAGGCTGAACACAAAGTAGCAAACAAAATACAAAACCTGAAGGTCGTTTCCACAAGGGACATGAATGGTGAAATCCTGGACATGAATGAGGGCTAGAACGTGAAGCTTGACTAACTGACAAGACCAACTGGCACAGGACAAAGGGAGACGCAGACTATATATACACACACAAGGTAATGAGGAACAGGTGGAGACAATCAGGGCTGGGTAGACAATCAGACACAGGAAACACCGGGGAGAGGGCAAGCGTCCTGAAACACGAGGGCAAAGAGGTTTCAAAATAAAAGCCACGAGACAACACAAATACAAGACAAAAACCTAAATAAAACCTAACACTTGGTACGAGACATGACACACTCATAACTCGTCTCTTCAGTGACGTGCAGCAACTTTCTACTCAAACTTTTTAAGAGAAACAATCACCATCGCTTCCATGTTTTTGATTTCACTTCAAGACTTCAAAACCTTTCTTTGTCACAAACACATTTACACACACACCTCACCAGGGTCATGGGGGGCGGAGTCTATCCCAGCTGACTCAGGGTGAAGGCAGGTTCACCTGGACAGGTAACCAGTCTATCACAGGGCTACACTTAGAGACAGACAACCAAGCACACTCACATTCACACCTACGGACAATTTACAATCACCAATTAACCTCAGCATGTTTCTGGACTGTGGGAGGAAGCCGGAGAACCCGGAGAGAACCCACGCTGCACGGGGAGAACATGGAGACCCCACGCAGAAAGATCCTCACCGGTGTCCTCTTCTAGCTGCGAGGCGATGGTGCTAACCACCGAGCCACCTTGCAGTCCAACACACACAAACACACACAAGTTCTGTAACAAAATCCCACAGAGTCAGAGTTTATACTCACTCTCCAGCGCTTCAGTGCATCAGCTGTGTCCAGCACCAGAGCAGAAACTCGAGCAGCGAACCAGCTCAGCAGTGCTCCCATGGCGTCCCTCACACAGACACCCACACACATAACCTCACTGCTCACACACACCGTCGCTGACTCTCCTCTTTCCCAGCACTAATAGCTTTTTCTTGCACTTTTGTCTCGTTGCTCCGTGTTTATCTTTCATGATCACCAATCACGCCCGCTAAGCACTTCTAGTCTTAAGTTACAGATCCTCCCCTTTGTTCTTCCACCTGCAGCGACTGGCCTTCACACAGAGCTGTGGAGAACGATGACTCTACACACAGGAAGAAACAGAAGCAGCAGCCGAGGCTTAATCCAGCCTCAAAACAGCAGGTACACAGTGATCTCCGTCTCAATGACAAGAAAAGACACTAAGACGGCCTGCTATAAATACAGACTTCAGGCAGTGCATGACAACTCCTGGACGCACTCAAGGACAAGCAACCCTAATGCAAGCCAACTCCAATCACATTAGGAGAGAAGCAGCACTGTGGGTGGTGTGTACACAGGAGAACGGCGTCCACAAGGCCTCTAGAGCTTTAGTCAATCAATAGATTAGCTGACTGACAGAAAAATAATGAGCAGGCAGTCACTTTTCAAGAGCTGAGTTGGTCAGACAGGAAACTGTCGTCACTATCCTCTAGTGTTTTCTACACTACATGTATAATTAATTAATCAAGAGAATAATTGTTAGTTGCAGCCCTAAAAACTTTCTTATAACTGTATGTTGGATAGCATTCAACTACCATCCACTTGTTCTACTCCAAGCATGTCATTTCTTCTTTTAAATCCAATACAAATTCCTTATTATATTATACGAAGTGACTCTGTACTCAGTGAATATGTCTAATGACAATAAAAACAATCACAGGTTAATCTAACATACGTCTGGACTGTTTAAGAGATTGCGACGATGCACACTCAGCTGCTTTCATATAGGACGTGGCGCCACTGCGCTCTGAAACCCATTCAATCCAGTTGCACTGTGCAAACTTCAGTGTTTTAGTGTTTGCAACACCTGAAAGCCTCCCGCTTGAGAGGATGGTGGCGTCGCTCTGCTGGAAATTTTGAAATCTCCGCCTATTTTACTCACTAATCTGCAACTCCCCCCGGAGCTGTGTGCCTGGACCGGCGGCGAGCGGGTCGAGTGTATAAGCTGCTTTAAGGCCGCAGTTTACAGTAGATTTAAATCCATACATCCATTATCTAAACACCGCTTTGTCCTCTGTAGGTTGTCTAAACTGCATCTAAAGGCCGGTCTATCGCAGGGCTACATATAGACACAACCAAGCACACTCACATTCACACCTACGGACTATTTACAATCACCAATTAACCTGTGAGGTGACAGCGCCAACCACTGTCTTCCCACCCTCTGTGGGTGTTCTGTGGTGTCTGGTACCAAGACATTAGCCACAGATCTTTGGGCCCTTCGGCTCTACTGTGGCAGAGGTCACTGTCCAGCTTGAGAAGGCTGCTGCTTTCTAGGAGTCAGTGGTTTCAATGTTGGGGCTTATTGGTGTGTAGATAACTACTAAAGCTGGCAGGACATTGTTCAGCAAACCATACGTAGCTGCTTTACCATAATAGACTTTTTCACAGCATGCAAAGTACATGTTGAATTAAAGACGGTTCAGTTCCATAAAGTGGTCCAGTCAGCCATGACAGTGGACCAGCATCCACATTAGTAAAGTGATTAGCAAGTGAAAAGAAGACATTATTGATGTGATTTTTCAGCTGTGGCATGTCATTTCTGCTGTGATAAGGTTTAGGTTTAACAGTTGTGTATCTCTACCAGCATCAGACAAAGACACAAAGAAGTAATTTATGATTCAGACTGAGCTATTGCCAGCTGGTGTCCTATCGTATCAGTGATTATCCATTCTGACGAGGAAAGCAGCAGTTAAACAGTGATGTCATTCTTATAATATGTTTGTTTGAACTTGCTGTCGTAAACAGAAAATATCTTTGTTGCTATGAGTGTGAAACTAGAAAAATAAGTGAGTTTAAGTTCCCCACTGACCGGCTGCTTCCTGATGCCACCTGCCCAACCGACCCCGATGCCCTTTTGCCTGAGGGGCGGGGCCAAACGAGAGTAACTTCAGTCTTCGGCTAATCCAGACGTGTTCATTCACAGAGTGGCTGTTCTTATTCGCCTCTAATTAATTAGAGTTGACTGTCTTAAAGAAGCTTAGCAGAGCTCTCTCTTTCAGGCAGGTTGAAGCTCAACACTCTGACTCCTCACCACACATGCATGTGTTCCATGTGGTCAGTCCTTGTCTGAGCCCAAACCTGTACCGAGACACTACTGAGAGACACACAGGACCGACAACAAGAGGTTCTCACTTTACCCTTAGTCTGAACAAACAAGCATGGTGCACCAGTGCATTTCCTAGTTTCACAATTATAATTCTGTTGTGACATTTTAAAATCTAAAAACACAAGCAGGTGTGGCTCTCGTCTTAAACTTGTTTGTGTATCTGGCTGAAGTGTTGCCACGGAGCCTGTTATGGCCGCCGGCCCTTCCTTCTTTGTGTTTGTGTTTTATTCTTTATGTTAATGGCAGTGTGCCGTCGCCAGTCGCCAATCGGGCCAGGGCAGATGGACGGAGACGAGCCAATGGGACGGTCCAGCTGGTGATGGCGGTCTGTTTAGTTTGGAGCGGCCCAGTTGTCAGGGCGGCTGGACTGAGTGCATCAAATTTATCATGTGTGAAGCTAAACGTATTTAAGGCACTGAGTAAAGTGTCTTGAAACAGGGTTGGTTGTGCTGATTAATATGATTTATTCCTGTTTAGGAAGCTGCTTTTCTGTGAACTTAATCTTCTGTTTTGTCGGCTGTGAGCTACTTCCATCAGATCTTTTACTTGTTTGTTGAGTTAACCGAGCATCTTTACACCCTGTTTTCCCTCGGTTTGCAGTTTTGTTAAACTCTGTTAATAAATAATACTTTTAAACTAATTACATCTGGTTTTGTTGCTTCCCTTCAGCGAGCTGGGTTGTAACAGAGCCCTAAAGTGTGAATCCAATAGGAGCATTCAGCACCACTGTACCACCCACACACACACACATCTGGCACTGGGGAGTGTGTTTGGTCTGCAGCAATGTTTAGGTGGCTGGTACACATCAAGGGAACCTGACCCAAGGTTTCCCAGCAGAACATTTCATTGTGACGAGGTGATCGGTGTTAATCACGTCACCCTTCAGTGGTTTGTAAGTGAAGGCTGATCCCTGTTGAAACTCA